AGATAGAAACATCAATGATGAGAAAGAATCACTGATCGGCTGCCTCCTGCACGCCCCCTACTGGGGATCGAGCCCACAACCCAGGCATGTGCCTGACCAGGAATCAAACGGTGACTTCCTGGTTCACAGTTGGATGCTCAACCACTGAGCCACGCCGGCTGCACCACTCAAACTTCTTGAAAGCAAAGTTCCCATTCACCGTGTTTTATTCATTCAGCTGCTATTCACTTATCTATCACTTTAATCTGGCTTTAGATGCTGATTAGAATTTAGGACTGAGGGGTCATGATGTCTGCAGCTTACGTGATTCAGCTAAAAACAAGTATGACTAGGTGGCTGGACAAAGCGACTATGGCCCAATGTCAACAATGGTTGAATCGAGGTGAAGGGTGTACCCATTACTGCATTACTCACTCAACTCATCTGTATGTTTAAAATGTTCATAATAGGATGTTGGAGGGGGGGGAGGAATGATCTAGCTCTTCCTCTGACTTTGCCAGAACTGGTCTCCCAGGGCACGAGGTGGGGAATGAAGCAAGGAGGGGTTGACCTGCTCTTTCTCAAACCAAGGGTCACAAATGTCTTTCCTTGTCTGACTTGACCTCAATGGGCACTGACCATACTGGTCACTTCCTTCTTCTTGAATCCATGTTTTATTTTCCTCCTACCTCTTTTTAAAAATATTTTTTCATTGACTTCAGAGAGGAAGGGAGAGGGGGAGAGAGAGAGAGACATCAATGATGAGAGAGAATCATTGATCAGCTGCCTCCTGCACACTGGGGATCGAGCCTGCAACCTGGGCATGTGCCCTGACAGGGAATCCAACCCTGACCTCCTGGTTCATAGGTTGACACTCAACCACTGAGCCATGCCGGCTGGGCCCTCCTGCTTTTTGGTTTACTTTCTGTTATCTTGAAACACGTCTCCCCTGCTCTCTGGTCACCCCCAATATCGGTGCTCTAGTTGAACCCATATACCCTCCCCGAGTTAATCTTCACTTCCTTCTGTGGCCTTAGCACAACACACACACACACACACACCTATCTCCTGGAATTCAAATCCTAATATCCAGCTACCAACTCAATTCCAATGTCTTGAGTTTATAACGTCAGCATGTCCAAAGCTGGGCTCAACACTGCTTGTAACATCTTTATTTCCAACCACACTGAATAGCACCACCATCCATCTGGCTGCAGTCACTAGTAACGAGTATCATCTCCTTATCTTCTCCAGCCCCTTCCTCTCACCTCTTTCCAAGTTAATCATCAGGTCCTGGCTTCTGCCTTCTCAAGAGCCCTCAAATCCTCTGTCCCTCCCCTATACCAGGCCATCACATATCCTCCTCCCTACTTCAACACCTCCCCC